GAGAGAGAAAAAGAGAGAGAGAAAAAGAGAGAGAGAGAGAGAGTGAGAGAGAAAGAAACGCGGCGAGCGGGACGCTAGTGTGTACGTGCCGGTGGCGGAGTGAGTATGCGAGTGAGAAGGCCGATGATCGCAGTACGTGTCACCCAATCAACCGGTTGCCCCCGGCGTGGCGAATTAATATAATTTATGAAAATGAGCCTCACCGTCCGATGGCCACTTGATTCTCCGAGGCATTCGTACATTCGAAAGCCACACGATTCAGGCCCTGTAAGAATTCTCCGTTAACCGGTCGCCCCTCGCCATATTGGCTCCCTACGCCGATTTTTCTTCGGTTCGGTTATTTATTTTATGCTTGAGCCTTTGATTAGCCTCCGCGAAATTCATTGCGCGGGATTACGTTATTAATGAACGCGGAGGGTACGCGGGTGACCGGGTCCTTTGAAAACACTGATTTCGAGGATATTTTCAGCGGCCCGAACCGCGACCGATCGATTCGCTTCCCTTGACAGTGGTGTGTATTCAATGTAACGGTTGGAATAACTGGATTTGTTCCTTATGTGTCCTGGAATCGACGAACTATTTGTACGCGAGGAGAGCAGGGCCGGAGGGGCAGAGCGGGAGGGCGGCGGATTTTATTGCGTGGCTTTTTCCCTCAGTCGGGAGGAAACGTGAGGTTTGCACGGAGCTGCGCGCTAAATTAATTACGAATATAACTCTCTCGATTTTACGAGTTTTTCGATTCTGTGTTTATCGAGATCCCCTGGTTTCGAGTTTAAAAAGCGGACAGAATCGACAAAAGTTTCATTTCAACCGGATATTGTCGCGCACGCGCGGGTTTCGCGATGTATTGTTTTCATATTCGCGTTACCGTGAAATTCGTTCTTCCTGTTTCTGAGATTGTTTACAATATCGGCTTGCCTGGACGCGTGCTACCGTCGGTGTTAAGCAGAGGAATTGTCTGAAATAAAATCGTGCGCGAGATGAACAGAATACAGGAGGTTTTTTCTAAGTATGTACAAGAATACGGTGAGTTTACACGAAAATATGAAGGTGGAAATTCGAATCGAAATTGTGAAGGGTTCGACGTAGGAATCAACTGAATATAAAGATCCGAAGATCTGTTTTTAAGATCCAGGATTATTTGATTTTGTCTAGAGATCTTTTACGTGGGATTCATAAGTTAGAATATGCTTTGGTTTTAGTTTTTAGGTTTGAAGATGTTTTGAAGGTATATTTATTTGTGGTATCGTTGATAGATTTATTGGAACTTTAATTTTAGGGTCTTAGAGACAGGTATTTCTGATTTAAATGTTATGATGCAGCTTAAGGTTTTCAGTCTAAATTTTCGAATTCATTCTTTTCAAATTCGAAACGATTCTATTACGGATTTCTAATCTTTAGTTCGTCTGGTTTTAGGCTCTCGATTCTACATATATCATACCCAAATCGTTCAATATTTTACTTATATAACAGAATATAATTTTTTACTTACTGAAATTGTAGTTCGTTGGCAATTCGCCTGGAGCTGAAACAAAAATATGAATAATCTTTACAAGGAGCGAACACTTTATAGTTTATAGAATTATTTTACATGTTTAATACCTTTCGGATAGAAACGTTAAACTCGTTTCGACTGTACGCCATCATTAATGAATAGAAAAAAAAGAAACCGAACTACCTTAAAGATATGAATTTCGCAATCAATTATGGGAACCTAACTTTTCCACATAATATCGAATTCTTCCGTGCACAGTCGCAAGCTTCCGAGCACAGGCGAGCGCATTCATCACGCACAACGAGAGGGAACGTATCCTATCGGAAAATCGCAACATCCACGCCCAATTGGTTTGAGAATTTGAATATTATCTCTGTTTATTGGATCATATTAACGAGCACAAATTCCGTGCGTTCAGCTTAAATAGCAAAAAGGATCACGGGAACGAATTTTTTGACCGGCCCGTCCCCTCTTCAACCCTTCAACGTCCCTTGATGCGTCCATGCTTTTTCATGGCGCGCGCAATTCACAGATTAAAGCTCGAAACATTTGGAAAATTATTCGTCGCGTTTAACGTTTCGTTCGTTCAATCGAAAAATGAAAAAAGGAACAGAGAGCTCGCGAATCCTGAAATGCCTGAAAGGAAAAAGTTCGAATAATTTAATTAGCGGGAAACCGTTTTGCGAAATGTTTCCACGGGGCTTACAGAATGCCGCGGCCTTTACCGATTTTTGTACAATGTATTATACACGTGTGCATCTGAATGCTATTAACAACTTTGAAATATTTATTCGAATATACGTAAGCGCATTATTCAATTACCGTTAATTGAATCGATTCATTACACAACAATTAGAATCGTCAATGAATAGCCATTCCAACAACCATTCAAAATGTCGTTCGCAATTTTTCTCCGGCTACGTTATTTCCTGTCGCTTTTATCTTTCCTTCTCTGTCGTAAAAATCAAAACGATGCAAATGCGACGTAAACGTCCGCCACGAATGAACAGCGTGTCCTTACGCGCGTACACCTCATAAAAATTTCAAGAAATCGATAAAACACGAAATTCTGTTAACACGATTTCATCCGCGCGTCAGCTACTTCCAATCTTACAGAATTATTACAGGAAACAACGTTTCCATTTAACACTAGCTTTGCGAAACGCGTTACATTGATGTTGAATTTTATAAACATCACTCGGTAAACGTTTACATCGGTTTCGATGTAAATTACACGCAAATTACATTCACGTAATTTCATTAAATATCGTAACGCGTAATATAATGCGGACAAAAGCACGGAGATTTTCTTCCTCGATTATTATTTATATTTCGTAAAAACGATACGTTTTATCTAATAAAATATCCTAACCACGGAGACTGTTATTGAAAGAAACGCTGGTAGCGAATGGGTTCTATTTTAACCGTTCAAGTGTAAATTCGTGTGGACGGTTGCGAAGCCTACGCGAACAATGTTGTGTAAACGGCACGTTGGAATAAAAGGGAATACCGTTAATTGTTTCGTTCGGCCGGACGCGAGTCTACGTCGGAACATAATTGGTCATAAAGAAACAATCATTATGCAACACTCGGGCCCGCTTAAGCGGTCGTCTAGCGGCAGAGAGAAGCCCGGGCTTCCCACTTACCGTTAAACGAACCGTGTATCGATAACCATCGATAAATCCGAGGGCGCGCTCCGTGAATAGGCGACAACGCCGACGTCCGCGTTCCCTTGTGTTAATGCGCTCGCACAAAGGAACTCCCACGGACGCGTTTGTCTCGTCGGGTCCGCGGTATTATTAATTGCATCATTATCCCGCGTCCGCTCGCGTTTGCCCAAACAAATGCTAATCGGCCGAACGTCCTCCCTATTACGACCGCGAACGTCTCCCCGATTACTGCGGACGACTCGATTCGCGGACCGATGGCCAATGTGCTCCCGAGCGAAAGTACGGGCCGAGCCTCTGTGAAACGACCGCGACTAATAGAATCACTTTCTCGCGGATTCTTTCCACGCGATGCGGGTTAACTGTTTGTAGTTTAGTGGTACACGTGGTGTAACAGTAATGTTGCAAGATTCACTGATGTCCCGGTAATTCGTGAATATCAAACGTTTCAATTTTATGCCTCTCGACGGAGATGATTGTAAACATTCCAATTTTCGGATTTTCGATCAGGATAACTGTGACCATTGAATTCTTCAATCGTGTATTTCTCGTTGTTCTCTCTAATTTGGAGAATATAGCTTTGGAAACTTAGGTTTTTGGTAATAGTCGAATACGTTAGGTCAATGAATTTATATTCAAGCTTCAAGTAGTAACGTTTATTGAAACATGCAACGTTGAAGGGTACAACGAAAGACAGCCACTTTATGTGTAACGATGTAATATTAATGTTACAATTGTGCACAAGCTGTTACGATCGGCAATGGTTTTTGACAAGACGTGTCGATTCTTCGTAAGGGAATGTGGCTCGCCCTATTTCGCGCGGCGCGGAGAAAAATAACAAATGCATAGCAGTTAATAAGGACCTGGGTCGGAATATCGAGTAAATATTTCTCAGAACGTTTTTCCCTTATTAATTCCCTTGATTTCGACGCGACCCGACGATTTTTCCACGAAGGAAGCCACGATGAATCGGTCCCGGGCGAAGAATCGAGACAAAAAGACACGATTCAATGGATTATTTGTGCCCGCGGAAATGGGAGCGACGAGTGAATACGCGAAAGCGGACGATTGCGGTCGTGTTGCGTTAATTATCATGGCACGAAGTCGCGTTTCAATTTTCCTGCGCTTTCTCAATGGGCCGCGAATGAAAAAGCGAAGAAAACCGGCTCCCCGGTGAAACCGGGGCCGCGGATTCGATTATAATTATCAGACTTATTATCGCACTCGGCCGGGATTCACCGGCAAATCGATCGAATTGTGTCACGGATATTCAATTTCATTTAAATTACAAACTCCAACGCTGATATGATTATTTTTAACGAACTCTATTAAAATTTTTAGAGGAATTAAATCCGTACAATTCTGGAAAAAGGAATTTTGCGAAACAGACGTTCAAAGACAATAGATCGCAACAGAAAATTATTTATTGATTCACGTCAAAGTATAGGCTATATTATATAGAATTTATAAAAATGCCAAGCATACAGATCAATGAGATTACTTCTCAGAAGCAGATCAGCGTGAAGTAGGCTTAATCATTGAATTTCATGCATTCACTGAGCAATTAAACAGAATACAATAAAGCACTGTATTACACGGTGTTCAAATGGAATCATTAAAAAAAAACATTATCTATGGTAATTAAATTTGCTTGAAACCTATTGTGCATAAATTAGTTCACATGAGTTTATGTTATCGTACACATATATCCACGGTTCATTAACGAGTTTCTAGAGAACTATTCAGATATTAAATTATCATTCAATGTTCAAGACATAAATATTTCAATTGAAAAATATAGCAAACATTCTGCTACGATTATGACAATAATAGGTTGCGCAATGTGAAAAAATTGATTTCGATTCGTCACCTTGACTGACCACAAGTCCACCGTCGGCGATACTGCGAAGTCCGCCGCGATACACGGTCGACGGCTAATTAAATCCAATTAAAATGGCCTCGATAAAACGATCGTTCGAGGAACGCGAAAAATTCCGGCAAGCTTTCGGCGAGATGTTCGTCAACGCCGGTAATACGTTCCGCTAACGGCACCAAGAATGTTTTAATCTTGAACGCCAGGAATGGAAATTATTAACCGAACGCGTGGACGTTGGAAAATCGAATAAAAAGCAAGGAAAAACGAACAGAAGCATCGCCGTAGCACATGAAATTCGCGTTCACTGTCAAACATTACCGTTTTTACGTCACCGTCTAATTCAACGCGCTACGCTGGTTTGAAGAGGCGCGGAACGCACAAGCACAAAATAAAACTATGACCGGATTTACAGTGCGATAAAAGTAAAAATTTAACATTTCCCGTACGGCGCGGGCTTTAATATTTTTTCGTATATTAAATTTAAGGTCGTGCACGGCCGGCCGGGCGTTTTATTTTAGTACGCGTGTCGTGAATAAACAAGTATACTTATCATTCATTTGGATACGAAGAGACACTTCAAGTGTACTTTTCTGGTGCTTTTAAATTCTCCGAGGGTGCAGTTTATGTAAATTTATCAGGCTCGTCGCAGTAAATCGTTGGATGTTCCCCGAAGAATGATTAAAATTGTGAAATTTCAGTATTTTCTAAGTATCTTTCAAGATATATTCTATTCATTGTACCATAATTGGAAGACATTAGACAACAATATTACAATGAAAGTTATTCTTCCCCTAATGTTCGTGCGATATTCTTAAAATCATAGCAATCTGAATGGAACCATCACTTGCGTTCCGTTCATTTAATAATTCCATGCATAAACCTTCTCACGCGACACTATTAAAATTTAAATCTTTAACGACTGAATTTATAATAACGACGGAAAGAAGAATGAAGAGAAACGTTAAGGAAGATCGTTTCGTCCTGAATCCCCGCTATTAAATTCGTCACAAAGGCGAAGAATTTTCTCATTGAGCAGAAATTAACAAAATAAACAAAAGTTTGATCTTCCAGCGTTCCTTATTGTACTGATAAAGGACGTAAAAGTCTTCCGAGTTGTCTCTCATTCAACACCCACAATTATCTCAATCCATTCATCTCCTCCCACACAACATCTAAAAACGTTTCCACAATACCGTTCCCAGAGGTTTCAATTAAATTTTCCGCGAGCAAGATCGACGCGGTTCCGACGGCGATCGCCGCGAGAGAACGCTGAATAGTGTTAGATCCTATGCGCGCCGCGCATACGGAGTAGCTGTTTCATGTCCAATTTATTTCCGGGAAAACGAGCGCAGTAAAGCAACTCGCGGCGGCTCCGCTCTACGTGAGAAACGATACATACGGTATGCTTGCTCATAATATTTGCGAGTACATTTTTTAGCATTCGCGGGCGTGTGCTCGAGGCGGAGCGCGGAAGAAGGGACGTGCGT